CATTTTAATTATAATATCGGTAGTTTCAGCCAATGATATGAGATAACCAAGCTATCAAAGGAATAGATATAAATATGTGATAAAATAATAACAATAGCACAATATGCGAATGACACCGTTTTATTTATAAAGGAAAACAATAGTATTAAGGCAGTGCTAAAAACAGTTAAACCATGGCCATTCTGTTCATTTTCTAGTCTTAATTTAAATATTAAAAAGTCTCAAGATATATATATATATATGTCTCAGCACAGGGAAAAATAAGAATGATCAACTCGTTTTAATAAACTGGCTGCATGAGCCAATAAAATTCAAGGAACATATATAGTTTATAATCAAAATATATGTGACAATAAGAATTGGGAAGATAATAATAATAGAAAAATGAGAAAAAACCTTAAATGTATGGAAAAGATGAAAAATTACCTTTAATGCCAGTGTCATGCCGGTTCTTGAGTTTGTATTTAAGAAAGTAGGTAGCCTATTTTTTCATTTCTTTGGGATTCTTAAACAGAGAAGATAGGTAGGAAAAATCTAAATGCGGAAAGGCTAAATGCCTAATTTTAAAGCCCGATGCTTAAGTTTAAGTATTAATTGGCTAAAGACATATATAAACTTGGGAATTATTTTAACATATTATTTTGATAATAATTTTGATTATTTTGGTATGTTGATTTTGAAATCACCTTTACTAATTACCGAACATATAATAGTCCTGCAGCTAATAAGTTCCCATTGTTTTATAAGGAGGTTGTAACGAAAGTGTTAAAAAGAAAACAAATATATCCTACATATATTAAAAAAATAATCGGAAAGGAATTTAGCTCTGGAAACACATTTGGAATACGAAAATAGTTCATATTTATGAAACAAAATTAAAGGATTTTAATTTTAAACATGCTATTCTAACCAATAATAAAGAATTATTTATATACAAGAATTATTGTGTTTGGTAAACACACAACCAATGATAGATTAAACACTGCAAATGAATTTATCAGTTTGGCCTGTTTTGTAATACATAAGGCATGGCTTGATATTAGAGAATGTAACGAAAAACTTATGAGGCCAATACTTCTAAAACCTTTGGCATAATTACAATGTACAATAAAAATTCAACAAAAATGCCGTTTAGAGAAAGGAAGTAAATTTAAGTTGTTTTCTATATAATGTGATTCTTTATATAAGAATGTTGTTTTTCCATATATTGTAATGTGATATCTTGTTTAAGAATAAATAAATGACCATTGGTACCATACCATACCTTGTACACAATGTGAATGCTAGAAAACATTGAATTACAGACAACTTTTAACCTCATCAAACTATTCGAGATTAAATTTCATTCAATTCCTATTTTACTTTTTTGATTAACATGTTTGATCCTTTTGCTCTGATCATTTTAACACGTTGATTCATTCAACTGTTATTATTTCAATAAAAATTAATGATCAATAAATGACTAATATATGTAAGTATGACATCTTAATTGTAAATTGTAATATTAATAATAACATGTATAAACCTGCATTTGTTAAATACTTCTGGGAATTAATAATATGATACTTAAATTGTAAATAGTAATTAAATATTTAGAATTATAAATAATATAAATGAGTGTCAATATTTTTGTAATTTTTATTTTGAATGTAGTGTTTTAGTGAGCTGTATCTTTTTGTAATTCTATATGTGAGGTGTTTATACCGAAAAATCTATTTATATTATGTTATGATACCGGATGTTTAACACCGAAGTCTAGAAATGAGTTCTAAAATCACCCTGTACTCTCCGTATCAAGAAAAAAGAGTAATATTTAGACAAAATAAAGAATTTCCAGAGGATCACCTTTCGTTCTCTAAGGCTCTGTTTGCTGTCTATGTGCCTCTTATGGACTAGTTTGAATAATGACATTTCACCATTTTTTAAAAATGTTTTGAACGTTCATTTGTAGAGAGATTAGCAATGAAATTGAAGCCCACACAAAGGCCTGATAGTATGTGCATGGTTCACATACACACTATTACTATAGATTGATTATTATTCTCGATAATGTCAATGGAGAAAAAAGGTAATTAAATTAGTATACTGTGTCATTTCGTTTTTTTTACAGTACATTGGTCATCACATAACTGTTAAGTCTCATAACAAAATGAACACTGGTTTGGAATAGTAACACAATTTTAGATTTTAATAATAAATAATAAAAAATATTGACTGATTTCAAAAATATTTGATAATATTCCAATGCTCATAATGTCAGTTTCCCTGAAGAAGTTGCTGAAATAGTAACGAAAGATATATATTTTATTTCAAATATTTTCAATTACAAAAAAAAACCCCACTCGACATTGACTGATTTATTTTAGTAAATCTCTCATTCGATTTTAATATTTAGATTTTTGAATTTCCTAACGGTAAACTAAGCAGTATTATGATTTCAAGAGCGATGTATCATGTTGCGTGAGAAGAAAGACTTCAGAATGAATTTATTATTTTGTTGTTTATATTTGTATTCTGCTACATGAACGTCATCTTTACCAAAATTATTGTGTTCCTTTTCATGAATTATCATTATTTCTGATTTGGTTTAAATAGAAAACATTGTAGCGCACACTCTGAAAGTTGACTACCACAGACGATGGTAGAAGAGAATTTGAGTCTAGAAAACGAGTTTGCAACAAGTACATCACTCCATGGATTGCAATACATTTCCACGAGTAAACGGTTCATCTTTAAACTACTCTGGGCATTGATTTTCCTGACTGGATTTGGTTTGTGTTTATGGCAAATCAGTCTACGCATTCAAGAGTATTTGTTGTTCAACGTAAACACAGAAGTTAACCTGACGTTCGTCGATGAACTGGAGTTTCCTGCCCTCACTATCTGCAACTTCAACAGGTAGGCATATAAACATTCGGAAGGAGAAAATACTTCTGAATATCAATATATAGTTTCTCACAGGTCATACATTGCTATTGCACTTTAGTAGTCCACCTACCCAGTGGCGTATGTAGTAGTCTTGAAATGATGTTGATGAGTAGGTGAGTGACGCAAAATAAGTTGACTTGAGGTGATTTTAAGAACTAGACAGTGATTTATGGGGAGTGGAGACTGGTGGGAGGCGTGAGTATAAGTTGGGGGTGTGTGGCCCCCAAGATACGCCACTGCCTAACCCTAAACTTCACCATAACTTCAATCCCGATATCTTAATTTTAAGGGTAGGACTAGGGTAGATTACTAAAGTGCATTAGCGCCAATATATTTATAGGCATACAAAGAAATAAGTTTTTCAAAAAATATAACAAGTTATTTTCGATTACAATTATTTACAGTTACATTGTTTTTTGTATTGTCCAGTTTAATTCATTTGTCATATACATGCACATGATATGTTTCTACCTGGTATTAAGTACACTATCTCCATAAAAACAAGACAAAAGAAATATATTTTTACAATAGGCCTATATATAGGGCTACTGTAAAATATATATTTTTTGTTATTATTATTCAGTATAGTATATTATTCAGTTAGTAAACAACATAAATGAGTTAAATGAGAAAATACTCATTAAGCTTGTTTCCACAATATTACAAGTCTTAGTCTGGCAGATCTGGGCAGGAAATATATTTACAAAATGAGAACAAAAACAGTAAGTTTGAAAAAAAATACTGAAATAATGAATTTATTTATCAATTACTTAATTAGGTATCGAAATTCCTACCTCACTGGTAATGATCCGGTTATGATGAAATATCTACAGGATGCCATGGACTACGACTACTTCTCTGAGTCTTCATATAGCTCTTCATACACGTCTAGCTTTAAGTATGATAGTAATTTCACAGATGGAAACTTTAGTACGTCTGAATTCACAAACAGAACTGGATTTCAACTCAATAACGAAACCATTTTAAGTTGCAAATGGAGTCGTGTGGCGGTCAGGTTAGTGCTATTATGATCACCCTACTCAAATAATAAAGCAAATTTGATTTGCGTCTTTTTTATTAGGCCTATTCTTACTTTGTTTCTTTTTAGTGTAATTAAGTTAGTTTAAGATTTAAGTCTAGTTTAGGTATTTGTGAGTTTAAACAGTTGTTTGATTTGTTTATTTTAAGTAATTGTTTTTTTTTTTCCCCTTTTTATTTTCTGGTTAAATTTGTTGTAGGCCTATACACGGCCTTGCAGGATAACAACTGTTATAGTTGAGCCAAGGTTTTCATGTTTTTAAATAAAGCTTATTATAATAATTACTTACTTCTCAATAAATTTTTCATTTATATTCTTGGGTAGAGAGTGAGAGAGACAAACGCGGTTAAAGTGCCTTCTCCAATGACAAAAGCAACTTGCTCAGCGAGACATGCGTGCTTCTTCCCTTGACAAAGTTAAGAGTCCGAGTTTCAAAATTAATCTAATTAATGTTATATCAAAATGCTATGATGTTGTATAACGAAAAATCACAGACTAGCTATAATGGGCCTCTAAAGAATATGCAACTACTAGACTGCATCCAATGACGATCACTACACAATTTTGGGTTATTTTCTGTCTTAGCTCATCACTTAAACATTCTATATAGTTTGGCCTACCCTATGTTATTCAAACTATTTAAATAATTAATGGAAGTTGATTAACGTTGATGAATAATTTGGCACCGTGTGTATAATACATTGTATTGTCGCACTTTGAAATAATGTTGCACTTTGTAATACTTGTCGCACTAAAAAATAATTTATCGCACTTTGTAATAAACTCAGTGGTGTTGTCCTAGTTTGGTGTCACATTGACTAAGTATATAGGAGTGCAGTAGTCGCACGCCCCTTCCCCTAAAATATTCTCCCCAGCAGGGCCGTCGGGAGCGCACCGGCCGCATCGGCTATGACCGGACCACTTCTTCTCAATTCCATTACTTTCTGAAATAAATATAATGATAATTATAAATTATATATACTTTTTCAATCATGGTACGATGGACCTGAAATAGAGGGTACAGTATCTAGCCTACTTCCACTAACTATGTATCTGTCCCTGCATGGGGTTGGAATAGGGGTAGTTGCTATGCAGCACATTTTCAAAAATTACAGGTATGAATTTATGCATCAACTTTACCCCTTGAGGAGGATTGCCAGATGAGATTTTTGGGCATCCACAATTTATACTTTTAGACCACAATATTAAGGAATGGCAATCGAAACTTAATTGGATTTAAAGATTAGTTTAGTCTCACGACCTCGCCGTGGCGTCGGATATCATAGCGACCTAATACTCTACCAAATCAAAACTGCTGATTTTTCCAGGGCCTTTTATCCCTGCACCCTGACCGGGGGCATTTTTTCGGTTTGATTCCAGATTCAACTCCCTTATCATTATCGTCATCATTATTGTCATCGTACCGTAGTCATTATCACCTTCATTAAAACCGTCATTGTTATCATCATCCCCAAATCATAATTATGACCATCATTAATTCACATTTTTTTCTTGGCATCAATGCAAACAAGATTTAAAGACGTATTTTCTCTTGAAAATGACAAAAAAAAAGTATAAAAATAATTTTTAAATTAACTTGTTCATTTTTGCAGTTAGCACATCATCGTGGACAGATGAAAGTGCGCCGGTTTACTGGCTGCTGAAGACATGAAGTGACCCTTAGGGGAGGAGAAAGTTATTGTAAAGTGCATCATCTAGTCCCAAGTGCATAGAGACCATGTATTATGCACCAACCATTAAGTCTCCAACCATTACCGGTACCATTACCATTAGCACACATAGGCCTGTTTTTAACTTGAGCAAAGAAATTGTGGAATTTAAAAAAATGTGTACCTTGATTTTTAAACTGAATAATTATAATAAAAATAATAAAACACTTCAATTGACTGGATCTATCATTTTTCTTTGTAAAATGATGGGTAAACTTTTTTTAAATACACTTATGTTTATGTTCAAGTTGATAATTTTTATGTTACTTAAAAGTGGGCAAGTTAATTTCAAAAATGATTCAGCGGCATTGTGCCCCTCTCCACTCACTATCTGGTTCACCCTAATGTTAGTACTCAATTATTTATTTATTACCAGGATAGATCTCTCCATGGAAGTATACGTGCATGGTCTGTCTGCATGAATATACTGAAGGTTGAATAAAATTAATGTCTAATCGGTATAAGGCCTACCAGAACAGCACTTAACTTTTTTTTTTTTAAATCGTGATAGTATAACTTATAGAGCGTGATAAATAACTTATTAACGTTCCAGGCTGAACATGTAATTAAAATTGTACGAGGTATATGTCCATAACATGTGGGCTGCAGGTTTATTTGTGTCGCTAATAGTATCCTGTGTTTTATTTATTGCATATTGCGTATTATTTCATAGCTGAATACCCTCCACATCGTGTAAATACATTTACAGTATGTTATAGTCATTGTTGGTTTATATATTATATATGTATTCATGTTCCTTTCTCTTCTGGAGAAATAAGCAACTCAATTTATCTACTTATGGCAATTATAAGAAATTACATTTTTAACAATATAATTTTCTACAGCTTTACCAGCTGCTATTTATTGGCATCCAGAGGTGCCGCATTTCCAACATAGACTGTCATCCATGCTAACTTCATATATAGTGGCTGCCCCTTGAGGGAAAGGATAGCGGATATGGTTGCCAGCATCTATTTCCAGATATTAATAGGCGCAAAACGAGTTGTTTACCAACCATGGTGGGGCTAGAGTTGATAGGCCTATGATAATTATGCTCTCAGACCTCAACTAACTTAAAAATCCTGTAGCTGTGGATAAAGATAGCGGGTCTCCACTCTTCATTTACTACCAAATTTGTCAAATGCTCATACCACCTCCTCCCCCCGCACCACCCCTCACTATAATGGCCGGACCACTTACAAAATGCTTCCGACGGCTATGCCCCAGGCACCCTTGTCCAGAAATTTTTGAATCACTACTAGCTAGCGCCCCTCGCTTAATCATCGAGCTCTCTCATTTTATATTACCACCTTCCCATCAACCCTACCTTCTAACATTTCAATTTATAAAGCGGAAGCACTTTTATAGAACGTATCTTTTTTTATATTCTATCCTCAAACTTTGGTTGTGCATAAATACCACATTTTTAACATTGCAGAATTTTACCCATCTATTTACGTCATTTGGTAACTGCTTCACGTTCAACTCTGGCAAATATAGTGATGTATTGAAAGTCAGACAGCCGGGAGCAGGAAATGCCCTTCAGCTGATGATTGACATTCAACAAGTAAGTTTGGCGATTGTAATACATGGTTCTTGAATTGAATCAGATACTGTACATTAAAAATTCAATAAGCATTGAGAAGCGAATAGGAATGGACGTTAAATCACAGTATATATCCATTTTTGAAACTACTCATCATTTTCTTCCATTGTCTTCCAGATTTGGTTTACCCAAGTAGTTTGTCGTATACAACAGCGTATCTTGATGGGGGCGGGTACTATGTGGACACCAGCGTCTTTTATTGGGGGGAGGGGGGTGGAGCGTGCGCACCCTATAGATACGCCACTGGTTAATCATTTTGTTGTCTGCAGTGTTTAAATGTAATTATGATAATAAGAAGATAATCCGAGAATACAAACCCATGCCCTGTTTATCTTTCTTACACTTCGCCCTCGTAGCTGGGGACCCACATCAACCCTTACCTCTGTTACAGTTTGCGCTCTTGGCGGCCCTGCACAGACGCGCGTTATTGCAATATCCTCGCCTCTCAGCTATTGTAATACCGTTCACCTCTCTCTCGGAGAGGCGAGGTTAACAATAATACATTGGCATCATTTACACTAAAGGCATTTACTTTTTCGCGCCCTTAATTTTCGAGATAAAAATGACGATCGCGAAAATTAGGCGCTCGATAATCGTCTATTATAATTATTATTATTCTAATAAAATTAATGATAATTTTTATTGTGAGACAGACGTTATATAGCTGACCTCTAATAAACCTAGGCCTAAAAAGTGTCATTATTTTTTCCCCGACAAATTGTTTTTCTCCCTATTGGGGTGGGGGGAGCTTTCCCCGACGGGGAACACTGGCCCGGGTCCCTTCAAACACTGCAGCCACCCCTCCTCCTGAACCGCGGTGGCATATAGGGTAACATTAATAAAATAATACGTAATTACAGTGAGTGAATGCGAGTAATAATTAGACGATAGTTCAGTGTATGTATTTTAGATATCTATAGCTTTGACACGACAAGCACACGAAGTGCCAGGGATTACCAGCTTTGTTATGCTGTGATCGAAGTCCTCCTTTCGATGGCTTGTGTAAGGTCCTTGTTGGTCCTCCTATACGTGGGGTGTTTAAGAGTTGCATGATCTTCTCGTTATACCGAGCGACATCCATGACGACCGTTGCATATTGCTTATATAATAATAATAATAATAATAATAATAATAATAATATTATTAATAATAATAGTAATAATAATAATAATGATAAGAATATTGATATTGATATAATATTAATAATAATAATAGTAATAATAATAATAATGATAATATTGATATTGATATTAGTATTAATATTATTAATAATAATAATAATAATGATAATAATAATGATAATAATAATAATAATAATAATAATAATAATAATAATAATAATAATAATAAATAATAATAATAGGCCAATAATAATCAATACTTAGCGCTTAATGTTAACAACATCGAAGTGTTTAAGAACATAATAATAAAAACAAAATCAAATAAGCAGCAATGCATGAGATGGTGACATTCAAGTGGTCTCACCCACTGATGTCAAAGTAATGTTGCTGTCTCAATGAGGCAATTTACACGCAGATAATCTGCAAAAGGCAGCATGCTGGGCTCCGGAACTTTCCACCACAGGATAATCCTGTGGCTCCTCTACCGTGCCATGCCGAGACAACGACTTTACCTTGAGCAAGAAAAAGCTTTAAAAAAAAAGTGAGACCAAACCTGAACACCACTAGAGCATCCTGCATAAAAATTAAACAGTAGAAAAAAATATGAGTTTTTGGAAGTTTTACAAACCTTTGTGTATCGAACTTCCTTATGTGAAACCATATTAATTAAGAAAAGGGTCCATGTTTACTGCAAAGCCCTTTATTTTCGCTCGCCCTTAATTTTCGTGATTTTCGCCATATAAAATGATTGCGGAAAGTAAGGGTGCACCCTCGAAAATCGTGAAATTCTGAATGAGGTTTCGTGGAAACGTTTCTGCCTCTCTGTGTATTTTTCCCTCATTCAATCACATTTTGAAAGTTAAAAATACAGTACAATAAATGACTAACATTATATTCTTAGTCTCAAAATGTTAAGCTATCTTGGCTTGGCTTCTTCTGTTATGTGTTATTAATATTAGGCCTATCGTGTGCCACGAATTGGTCACGAATTGGCCTTAACATACACCCAACAAAGACAAAAGTGTTTATAATAAATCCAACTAACACAAACAAAGTCATATTGGAGGGGGTGGGGGTAAAGATTTAGAAGAAGTGGAGAGCTTCACCTGGGGAGTAAAGTAGATAAATCAGGAGGGACAGACACCGATGTACGAGTAAGAATTTGTAATATAAAGCGAGGGCAGCCTACAACCAGCTAAAGAATGTCTGGCATTCATCAATCATATTCCTCAAAACAAAGATTAGAATATTCAACACAATCATTAAACCAGTAATTCTGTATGGGGCGGAAACATGGAGAACCACCGTAATCATCACTAGAAGAATCCAGACATTTATAAACTCTTGCTTACGAAAAATATAAAAAGTATGGTATACAGATGTGATCAGCAACCAGGAGTTATGGGCAAGGACAAGTCAGCAGCCCATAGAACAAGAAATAATACAGAGACGCTGGCGATGGCTAGGACACACCCTCCCAAAACCAAACCAAAGCATCACAAGGTCAGCACTCTGCTAGAACCCCCAGTTCAAAAACGGGGCCGTCCAAGAAATACCTGGCGACGGGACCTAGAGGGTGATGTCCGGAGGTTGGGTTATACCTGGAGGGAAGTGGAGAGACTGGCACAGGACCGGCCTGGTTGGAGAAATCTTGTTGGTGTCCTATGTCCCAGAAGGGACGATAGGCATAAGTAAGTAAATCGTGTGCCACATGTGAACTTTACTGGTGGAGAACTTCCTAGTGTTCACTTCACTGGAGCATGCAATGCAAAATAGTGCATAAATTGTCGCTGTCAGCGGACAGTAGGCCTAAATTAAACAGTAAACAGGAAAGTCTTTGTTTCTGTTCTCCTACAATCTGAGGGTAGGGAGTTGTTAATTTATTTAAAACTCTTGATAAACATTTTGCTAAAAAAAACTTTATTAGACAGATGGGCAGAGACACAAAAACTTAAAATTTTAAAATCATGAAAATATAAGACCGCGAAATATTTCAAATCGCAAAAATAAAGGGCTTTACAGTTATTTAAATGAAATGGCACCACATAAGTGCCTTATTTTGAGACACATAAGCATCACAAAGATTCACTCTTTTACCTCTCCTTTTTTTTTAAATAATTATTTGAGTGTTTTTATTTGTTTTCTTGATCAAAACGCAAAACTATACTGTTTCCAATAAGTTTCCGTAATTGCAAGCGTGGAATCCTCTGGTGATTGAATTGGAGAATATTCGTAAAGCATGCCTAATAAAAATATATAATAAAATTATTATTTTTCACCCTGAAGGACGAATACACCGAGTCGCCTAATGGTACCATTGAGGCCGGCTTGAAGATATTAGTACATCCGCAAAACGAACCGCCATTGATAGAATCCAAAGGTTTAGCAGTTGCTCCAGGTGTGCACGCATACGTCTCAACACGTAGAATTGAGGTGAGTAGACTCAGTGAAATTCAGATATTCATATAGGTCAAAACGATCTACTAAGTACATATTCTAATATAATACATAATACTATATTATTATCTATTTTATTTATACATTATATCATGATATATTAAATAGATTTTTGCGGTAATGCTATAATTTTGAATGCCAAACAAGATAAATCTGCTGGTGGGAAAAAAGTTGTCTCTACCCGGATTCGAACCCCGTACATTTTTCTGTCTATTCAACTGGACCAAACTGGCAAAATGAGCCATCTGCAAGCATAAAAAATTCGCCAGGAATCTTCTAAACAACTCTTTACTTGGGGCTTTCGTGGAAAGTTAAAGTCACATTGGAGGCAATTGATTTCTCTATGGTATGCGAATACAACACTACAACACTATAATTCGACGCACACACGTGAAGCATAGATGAAGTGATACGCCCGCCTTAAAAGTATCTTAAACGACATGACGGGATCTCAGAAGAGATACTTTTTTTTATATAAGAAATATTTCTGTTGCCTTGTACAAATTTACATTTCATGGTGTTAGGCCTACTCAGTGGTGTCACAGAGCTTTGGGGCCCTGGCGCTGATTCTTATTGGGGGCCCTTAATAAGTGAAGCGAGCGTTAAGTTTTCGAGCGGAGTGAACCAACAGACGCAGGGGACAAAGGGACGCATAAGACCCCCGGACGGAGTCCATCGGGTGAAGGCCCCTGGTGGGGGTCCGAGGGGGCTCAGAGACTATGCCATTTATGAACTGTTAGCTGAGTTAACAGAGAACATAAAATGGTTTATGACAGATGAAATATTTCGGACAATTTTATGACAAAAATAACATTGATTACATAGGCCAACTTTTGGAACTGGTATAGGCCTACCAGTGGGCCTGTGTACTCTATGTAGGTGTAAAAAAAATTATTTATTTTTATTTTATTTAAAACTTTAGGCAGGATAACATATACAGGCGAGATCTTACTGCTGTTTTACAATATGGTCCTGCAAAAACACAGTACAACAACAACAAAAAGTAACCAGCACAGTACAATAAAGTAAACAAAATAGTAAAAAACCATCCCCCGCCGGACACCAACCCGGTACTTCTGAGTCAAGGTTCCGGGACCAGGCTCAAGATTAAGCTTAACTACAACGTAACTACAATATGGTAAAAACTATCCCCCGCCGGACACCAACCCGGTATTTCTGAGTCAGAAATAAATAAATAGAGTATTCTAGTCAGAAACAAAACATGTTTCCATAACGTATATACAATGCAAATAAGATTGATCACAAAACCAGAAACAAATGTCAAACATCAGAACCCAGCTTTTATTGTTTAAAACTGTCAAGGCTCCATTGAATGAAACTATGGTATTATAATTTATATTATACTTTTTTAAACTACAATGTCGGGGCCCCTCGTGCCTGGGGGCCCTGGCACTCCGCCCCCGTGAGCGCCCGAGCATGACACCACTGGGCCTACCGATCTATTACATTGTGAATTAATGTATTTTCCCCGGCTAATTAAAGTTATTATCAATGATGTATGTGGGAGGGGTGGAAACTCGATCTTACCCTAGTCGCTTTTCCACTTAATTTGTCGAAGCAAAAGAAATACGCTAAAGTTTTAAAATTACCTCATAACAACTAATTTTGCCAGCTAGATTCCTCTCACTTTATCTTGGAGCAATACCACTTAACGTTTGCCAGCCCATTAGCCCATTCGACCACCATTATCCCCTTCCCCAATGTCAATACCCGAGATACGCCACTGCAAGCAAAGGTGGCAAAACTTGTTACATAGTTAAGGTCTAATCATGGAGGTGCACTATAATATCCCTGTGGTCTGTTAAGGGGGTACGTTTGAATTCAATTGTCATTTTAATGTTATCAATAAAATCATACATTTTTGTTAATGTGTGAATGTTATTGCGTCCAATAATATAGGTAGAAACATTAGGTAAACCCCACGGCAATTGTGACAAGTCTCTGAGGCTTAAGAACTACGAAATATACACAATGGCTGGGTGTTTACTCGAGTGCCGGCATAAACACATCGTCAATGAGTGTGGTTGCAGACCTATTCGGTAAGTAATAGCTATAGACAAATCCATTTAGGAAAATGCGCTCTCTATTGGCACCGCCATTGCTGCTCTGTGGATCTTCATGACCCCACCCACCCCATGCACGTGTTCATGTAGTGTGGTGTAAAGAGTAGATTATGATTGATATAGCCCACTGTACTTACAATAATTCCAATAGTTGCAATTACAGCAGATGATGAACAAGAATCCCCTACCGGAATCCTCCAGCTAGGAAGAATAACCAGTCTATACTTTAAGCAAAACATTAAGCAATTATTGTTAAATCTTGTCTAGACTGGCTAAAACAAACAATATATAAAACATTTTTATTATTATTATTATTATTATTATTATTATTATTATTATTATTATTATTATATCGTCATATTTTTGAATTTTTTTAGTGGTTTATTGTGTCATTGATCATTTGGTATTATTATTATTATTATTATTATTATTATTATTATTATTATTATTATTATTATTATCATCATCATCATTATTATTATATTATATTATCGCAGTTAATGTTGCCATCATCGCTTGCTCATTTATTCTGTATTTTTATGTAGATACCCAGGTGATGAGCCAGAATGTACCCCAAAGGAAACAGAGAGCTGTGCGTCTGATGTGCTCAGTAACTATTATTTTTAATTTTGTTTGTATAGAAGGGAAGTTAGTTAGTATACTCACATAGACATTTACAGAATATCGCTAGGCCTACATTTATTGTTTAGTTTACAGGAATATTTAAATATTCTACAGTGGCGGATTCAAGGAGGGTCCAGCCATAATCATAAACATTTTCTTACCTGAGCCCCAACCACGATGGGTGAGTCTGGACACTCCATCTGTGAAAATCCCTTCTGTGCTGTCTTTACTTCGAATTCTTGAATCCGCCACTGTTCATACACATTGTTGTGTATGAAAAAATAAAGTGCATTTTTTTTTCTCATTTGCAGAGAAACTGAAAAACGGAGTTCTAGAAGAATGCGAGTGTCCAGTTCCGTGTGCGCACACGTCGTTCTCAACGTCCGTCACGTATGCTGCCATTCCAAACCTATCCGTTGAAAATGAACTGAGCTCTTTTAATGGAACTTCTGCAGCATACTTCTCGTAAGGGCCCGTTATTACGACCCTTGAAACGATTTTTACATTCATTTTCCTTATAATATCCACAAAGATTGCCCTAATCAAGAGGACGAAGTAGGATAAGCCATCATAATAGGATAAGTTTGATCACCCAGTTGGTCAAATTTGCTTTTGCGTACGGTCCGGTTTGATAATCCTCTTATCTCGGCGATGCGAATTCAACGGCTGGTCATTGAAGCGTGCGGACTGTACCACTGTAAAATAGGGGTATTTATCATTAGGCTAGAGAGTAGTAATTTCTTCAATTTATTAATATTATATCATATTAATAGTTAGGGCCTAGGCCTATATATTTTTAACAGTCCAGAAATATGCCCATTCATTAACATTACAGATGTTTCTACTACACACACTGTACAACCTATCTAGCATGCCCCATTGAAAATGGTGTAGTCTGATTATCAGACATTGAACCGGAGGAGAATCTGTGGGCCTAGCGTAATATCGCCATTATAAATTGCCATAACTGCCATATTTCATAGGTAAATACATTAAAATTTATACCAATATGTTCACCTACACATGCACAAACTAAAAATCAAACTTATATTTCAAGGTAAAGTAAATATATAAAATATACCTCCAAAGTAAACTATAAAATATACCTCCAAAGTGAAGCTAGTTCTGCACGAAAATCCGGTGAATGCTCCAAGCGCTATTCTAAAGCATTGGCTTTTAAACTGACTTGCTATTGGTAGATTTTTATAAAAATAAAAAGTCCGACGCCATTTATTAACCAATCTAATTAATTTTTACACATGTTGTAGTTAATAAATAAAGCTACAGATTGCCACAAGAATGCCGAAAATCGGCCCAATATTAGTGGAGCTACGACATAAATACTTCGGGCGATTCGCCACATTTCGAGTAAAATCGTAGGTTTTACACTGTAAAATTTGAAAAACTACGGTTACAAAAAACGAAACCTTATAAATTAAAATTAAGGTTAATAAAACAATTATTAAATTTGGAATAGAATTAAAGAACAATGGCAAAAATCAGACTAGTAGAAGTGAAGTTATGAAGAGAAATGTGAGAAAAGATAGCGAAAATAGCGGAAAATCGGACGTTTCGAATGAAATTAAATGGATTTAGCGGCGTTCAAACTTATCCTAATGAGTCGTAAACCATGCTAGATAGAAATTATAGCACAACGGTTAGATTATTGCATACAAAATTACCTTCGGATCCTTCAGGAGAGTAAGCTGGTTTCAGCTTGTGGTGGGGAGGGTGCGAAGAATGAGAAGCTAAATTCCTAAATGCGGAACAAAATACCAATCTCATTGAAAACTTAATGGTCATGATTTTTAGTAGTCGCTTACTAGTGGAATTAATTTGCTGCCATGGGGGAAGGGGTATCCGTACCCCCAGCCTACGTCCATGTCCTTTAAAATTAACAATTTGTGAATATATCTTTGTATATTATGATATGGGAAAATAATTTACAAATCTTCCCGGCTAAAAATTGTTACACTGTATTTCTCGAACAATCAAATAATTTTTTGTTGATATCAGAATGGCGATCTTAAAGATAATGACGACGACGATGATGATAATGATGATGGAGATAATAATAATTAGGTTTGCCTTTCACATTCTGCGTTGTACGACAAGTCCATTCCCGTTCCCTGTAAGCGTTTGACGACGTGGCTTTGACGGTAGCAGGCGATCGTTGCACGCACATCCTGGTTTCTGTGAAACCCGTTAGCGCAGTCTGTGCTCGGTTTAGTGTTATAAGGAATATTTGTGAAGACGACATTTGATTTTTAAGACAACGTGATATTACTGTTGTTATTTATTAACAGGAAGAATTATATCTTGCTGGATGTATATTATGAAGAGTTGAACTTGCAAGTCTTCAAACAAACTCCAGCAATGACGTTCTCAGCTCTTCTTAGTAAGTTCATCGGCCATAAATTAAGTACATTTTACAAGCGGCCAATGGGGAACATCCAAACCACAGTTTACCAAATGAGCTCCTCCTACTTCCAGGTGCGCATGCGTAATTTGTACAAAATTGAGAACAGTAAAAACTGAGAGCAGTTTGCTCAGTCGGCTAATCTGGTGGTAGCCACAGTGTGTGCGCTGAACCGTGGAGATCTCTACGTTCCCGGTTTAATTCCCATCGCTGCCTCTCCTTGTATTATATCAGCTGGAGGGCTGAAATACAAGTTACAATAGCGCACCATCTATCGGATGAGACGTTTAAGCCGTTGGTCCCGTGTGCATTGATGGCCAATGTGCACGTTAAAGAACGCAGTACACTCTTCGGAAAGAGTAGGGGATTGTCTCCCGGTGTATACCGTACTGCCTAATCACCACCAAAGGACACCAATGGAAATAAGTTTTCTTCTAGACTTTCGCGGGCTACCCTTGGTGTTTACACCAAATAAATAAAATCCAATCCAATCCAAAAGCACTTTTGCTTTTACAAAAAAAGAAGATAACATAACCCTTGATTATTACATGATTCGTGTATCCTGTTTTTGCATGAATTAACTATCATGATTAATTTATATATACCGAATAAAAAAGCAATGTACAGTTCTGTTTCAATAAAAAAAATCATCTTCCTCCTCCTTATCATCATTTTCATCATAATCGTCGTCATCATCATCATCATCATCATCATCATCACCATCATCATCATAATCATTTCCATTATCATAATTTATATGTTTATCATCATCATCATCAATATCATATAGGCCTATGCTAATGTATGTATATTTCAATTTCTTTAGGTGACATTGGAGGTCAATTGGGTCTGTTTATTGGTGGAAGTGTCATCACTCTCTTTGAAGTTGGTCAGTACTTTTCCATGAAGGGTCTTTCTGTTTGCTGTAACACAAGCAGGTGTACCAAAAGTAAATCGCATCCAAATAGTTTTGGTGTATCTGGCCCAGCATCGGTCGACATCAATGGTGCTTTGGGTAACGATGACATATTGCAAATGATCTGACCATAGCACGTATTAATATTTCTAAGGGCAACCACCGCAAACATCCTGCCAATGGAGTATCAGTCAAACTTAACAAATGACTATCAATTCTGTTATTAATTGGAATCACCTTTGAGAAAGAAAGTTTACAATTTTAAACAAAACATCAGAAATATATTTTAAACTACAGGTATTAAATTAAAGAGTATTTTGTTCATGTGGATGTTTGCCACCCGGCCCGTTGCCACCCGGCCCGTTGCCACCCGGCCTTTTGCCACCAGGCCCGTTGCTACCCATTGTTGTATAGCAGGCCTATGCGTTGTATTCGCAGAAATTTTACTCTCGGGATTTTTGCCAAACTATGTGTACTGAATGATGAATGGATTGATTGTTTGGCAGATTGTAAACAATGAAGTAGCTTCCTGATTAGCGTTCTATCTTTTTTTGTATGTATTCAGACGTACATATGTATATATGTATATGTTTTCTGAGTATGTACTGTTTTTAGTTAGTGTGTATGTGTGTATTTTTTTAAACATTTTTTGTGAAGGAAGAACATCATGAATTAAAATTCTAGTAGTGTTATAAATTGAACAGATTTTTTTTATATTTGATTTAATTGACTTGCCTTTGAGTGTGGAAATAATAATGAACATAAATATAGTGACACCGATAAAAATAGTGATGATAAGCTATTATTATTATTAACATGTTGAATAATGTTAAACCGCTATAAGAAATGGGCATAGACCTCTGAAAATTTGTTGTTTTTAAGATATTAAGCCAAATGTATGATCATATGAGCTTTGGTATATCAATAGAAAAAACATGGGTGGGGGAAATGTCCAACTGACCAATTAAAGGCCACGCAAATTAGCTGAACATTAGCCCTAGTCACATTATAAACAATCAGGGGATTAGTTTGCTCAGATTACCAATGTTACTGAGTGCAATATCCTTTGTAGTTTACCGCTTTATCCAAAGTTTATCATTGACGGTTATTTCCCATGAGAAAATATACTGTATATGCTTATAATATATTGTCCACATAAAGAGAGAAATACCAAATAAATTCCATAAAGTTCATTATGCACACATAATATAGGCTAGTGGTTGTACTATATAAATAACTATAATTATCATAAATGTGTTGTTTTTTTAATTGTAAAAGCACAGGCTATTTCTTTCTATTACTATTCCCCCACCCTCTTATATAAAAATAAACTAGACACGGCAGTATTTCTCTCTTTATGCGGATTTACAACAATGTTTATTTCTGCAATTTCTCCTGGTGGTAAGAAAGCGCATGGACAATTGTTTGAAAATAAAATACAGTAAACTAATAAATATTAAACCGGAAAGTAAATTTAATCAAGAAAAAATTCTGCTACAGTAGGCCTACTAGTACAAATCTGTGTAAAAAAAACACACCAAAATAATATAAATATTCGACTTTCCCAAAGGTGGCAAAAAGCCGGGTGGCAACGGGCCTGGGTGTACGAGGCTAGGGTGGCAACGGGCCGAGTGGCGACGGGCCGGGTGGAAAAAGGCCGGGTGAAAAAAGGCCGGCTGGCAAAAGACCGGCTGGCAACGGGCCCGGGTGGCAACGGGCGGAACCCCTCACAGAAGCTGTTCATACAAAAAAAAAGAGCAAGCACAATGGTTCCACCAAATCAATAGGCCTACTATTTAATATTTTTTAAACAAAATAAATCAAAAAATTAAACATGGTTAGCAAGGTTAATTAGGGTTTTTGCTCGTCTTCTTCATGCACCTTTTAAATATATCTTATAGAAGTTATCGAAAAAATAATACCAAGTGTGGTGTGTTGTGAAAAAAATAACGTCGAGTTTGTGAATCTTTAGGCCAGTCGAGCCATTAGTGAATATACGAAAGTCTTCCTGTAGATTGTTTTCCAATATATATTACATAGAAAGTAGATACTGAATGTGGCTCAACCACTTCAACTTCAGACTGTTATGATTATGCATGATTGCTTTGAAGAGTAAATGTGCCACCTCGTATCATCGATGTTTTTCAACCGATGAAAGTATTTAACTCTGAAGTTGTTCTGTATAGTGAAATTAGAAGGCCTACCAGCCCAGGTCTCCATAAAATGTTTCTTTAGTAGCATACATGGGTGCTTTAGAATTGTCCTTGCCATTTGGTATAGTTGGTTTAGCCAAACGGAGAATCCATAAATTTATGGTAGGTAAGAAAATCACTTTCCAAAGCAAATCATCAAAATATAGACTGTTAAAGTCATCTTGGTTATAGATGATAGATTTTGTATAAAATTAATCTGTTTCCTTTTTAAATGAATTATTAATATTTTACACATGACGTGCGTCGGTGTTTAGATTAGAGACATAAATTCCAAGATATTTGTAGCAATCAATTTCTGTTATATAATCATTTCGTAGTTTCCATTTTTCATATTTGTTTGTTTGTTGTCTAGTAATTAGAACACATGATTTATTGTAATTTAAATCAAGTTTCAGTTTTCTTGAAAAATGACTTGTTGTTTGGACAATTTACGTCTCTCTAGTCTTCACCAATCAACACTACATTCTCAGCCCGAAAAAGAGTTTCTTATTTTTAACATTAAATTTTTATACGACAGTCTTTATTACGAATCATTTTTTTAAAATTTTATTTATAAAATATAAAATACAAGATTGTGGACAATGAACATACTTTTTTTCATCTTCTTCAACGGTAAAAATGTCTGTTTCCATGTCCTCAAACACAACTTTGCCTTTCACATTTATATACAAATTCTTAATACTATCTAATAAATTCCCTCTAATGCTTATTCTACTAACAGCTGTAAAATGCCCCTGTTGCTAAACAGTGTAAAATGCTTTCTAAAAAAGTCTAAAAAATCAAGAAATGTGTTTTTCCCATCCGATTGCCGTGCACTTAAAATACCTCTAAGTGTGAAAATGCTATCGTCACATCTTCTATCTGACTTAGAGCCGCCTTGTACTCCACTTAAAAAGATTAAATTCTTCAATAAAGTTTGAAACATTTGGGAGGTAATGTGGTTATAAGCTTTAGCAACACAAGAATAAGGCGTGATACCACTGCAGTTGTTGGGATATTTAGGGTAATTTTTTTAAATAGAGGAATTATAATGCCCTTGTTCCACTTGAAATATTCTTAGGTACCGGTACACTAAATCTTTAAAAACAAAAACCAATGAATTTGTAATTCCACCACCTCTAAACCAATTTGCGATTACGGTAGTAACGTAGTGAGATCAATCTCTTCCAGAATATTTTCATTATCTTTAATGTTACAACCTTAAATGTAATCACTTTCTGTATATTGTACGTACTTAAAACCCATTATCTTCTGAATATTTATTCGTTTTTCCTAGGTTCTTATAATACCCAGTTAGTGATGACTAAACTGTTTCTTTTTCTGACTTTACTGGTACTGGCACTGGTCTTTGTAACCGTGGTCACATGACTGTATACCGTTAGTGGTGATAGAACAGGCTAATGCTCAAAAAGCTTCATTTGTCTTCTTTTCCTCAGTTTGACGTTTCCTTGTTTCAGTTACTGGATATTCAGAACTTTGTTGATTTCCTTGATTAGTATTGCTTGATTATCAATAACGTGTTGAAGTTCTGTAATAGTAGCCATTAATTTGTCATTTTTAGTTTTAACCGAGACACACCCTTTGTTGATACATCGGACATCATCATTTAGTTTCTTCGTGGTTTTTATTATTGGTTGAAGCGACTTGAGAGTGAACTGAGTTTTACGGCATGTAGAGCGAACCAAAGATCCGCCCCCATCCCGTATTGATAATGACATTCTCAGAGACCACATTTTATAGGACTTCCACCTTTTTCATTGACTGAGTAATCGAATGAGCATTGGTCAATGCACTGTTTTAGCCGTACTTGTTAGGGCTACTAGCATATGGTCCAGGCTTTGGGATGAATTCATGGTAAACACAACTTCCAGTTTATCACACTTAATCTCCTTTTTTTGAGAAATCTTTATTGTAGATAGACAACATGAAGAATGAAAAAAAAAGTTGGCTTCCTTTCCAGGTAGCACAGCGTGATAGAAAAATAAAATAAAAAAAAATTCTGTATCTTTGTTTCCGCTGAATGATCAAAATCGTTGAAAAAATACTACTTATAGATTACCACAGTCGTGTCATCACAACACAAAGTGTCTCCCTCTGTTGTCAACCTAACGTTGGTTACCGTTCATTACGCCTGAATGACTTCATAGGCTTTCTGGAATAGGAATTTTAAAACCTAATATTTTACCATCAAAATGTACTAAAAACACAAAAGCTCGCAATTTATAAGTTATCGAACACACATTTAATTATCAATTCAAATTTACAAAGAAAAAAAAAGATATAACATCTAGTCTCTAGGAAAAAAAATTAATATTTTGTAGAATTGATTTTTCTAAGACAGAAAAAAGTTGTTTTGACGAAAAACTGGGAAACTGGGAACGAGATAGAGATTTTTGAATATTTTGTGGGAAAATGGGGCGTAACCGCCCATTTTTACACCTTTTCCCCCAGTTTTTAAATATTCAAAAATCTGTATCTCATTCACCGTTGCTCAGTTTTTGATCAAACTACTTTTTTTCTGTCATAGAAAAATCAGTTCTACAACATATCAAAAAAAGGTTTTCCTCCGGAGCCTGACTTTAATAATTACATTAGAAATTAGGATCAATGGTTTGTCAGTGGAAACAAGGTCCGGTTGAACGCATTTTGTGTCGCCGATAGCAACAGAGTAGTATCACGCGGTATCGTGACGTAACACTGTAGTACTCTATAGTTCTTTTGAATTAAGTACTATAGCACATATAAATAAATTGTGTGTGATGAAAGGGTTGGCTAGTTGAAGAATGCTTCCCAGATAACACAGCTTGATGAAGGAAACAATGTTCTGTAGATCAATAGCTTTGTGAAGCCTTTCTCCAACTAATAAATGTTCATATTGTTTAAAGCAGGGAACAGTGAAATTTCATAGTTCCCTGGTTGAAAGACACATCTATTTTTCTTGAACAATCCTGCTGTTTTATTCAAGAGAATTATCCAGTACTAGTAGAATTAGTAAGTTCAAGTAGTCTATTTTACTTTTGGTGAGACGTCAGTGGGCTTCAAAAGTGATCGTTATTAGTGTGTCGAATATGCTAGGCATCAATGTCATACCTAAAAGTCTTACCTCCTATATGAAATGACTGCGTGTTTGTATATGTAGCTTCTCCACTCTAGAAATTTCTTTTAAAACAACCTTAGATTTCATGCTCTAAAGCTATTGATAACATACATAGAAATGGTCAGCAATCATTTCTCATTAGGATTGTAGGACTTCCCAATTCATTGAGAGACCTGAATTA